AGGAAGCAGTGCAAGCTGTGCCTCAGTGCAAGCAGCGCGGTAACTAGCGTCGAGCGAGCGGAGGTGAGCGATCAAGTCAGCAGAGCGCTCAAACGAGGCGAGATCAGGAAACAGGAACGGGAGGAAAAGACGGCCAAGAGAGACAGTAGCGGGAGTAGAGTAGCGGGCCTTAATCGCAGTGAGGTACGCAGCAGCGGTGCGAACCTGAGTGAAGTGGACCTCCTCTGACTCAGGGAGGAGGCTGCTGAGTGCGATGCAGGCCGCAGCGTCACGCGACGTCCAAGCCGTCCTGTCAGCGCGCTGACGGGCAAAGCGAGCCGTAGCAGCATCGTCAGGGGCAGGACCTAAAGCGGCAGGCTCGGGGGGCTCGGGGAGGTCACCAGTAGCGTGCGACCAGAGGGTCTCGCCCCCCTGGACTTGACTCTCTAACAGACGGCGAGCGCGAAGAAGCCAGACGGAAAAGTCAAGGGGTCTACCGTCAGCGTCGAAACGAAGAACTCGCGGAGTCGCCATAGCGAGAACTAACGCGAACGAGCAGGCGAGTAACAGTAGGAGGTAAGAGGCAAATTAGGGTTCAGGTGGGGGGACTTAGTCGCAGCGGAAGAACGGGCTAGGGCGACGGGCCGGGGGAAAGGGCAGGGCGGCGGTAGCTGCTGCTGGCGCTGGCGGTAGCTGCTGCTGGCGCTGGCGGTAGCTGCTGCTGGCGCTGGCGCGGGCGCTGGCGACGGAACGGGGGGCCGCGAGGCGACGAAACAGGGCGACGCGACGGAGCAGAGGCGACGGGACGGGGAAGGGCGACGCGACGGGGCAGGGCGACGCGACGGGGCAGGGCGACGCGACGGGGCAGGGCGACGCGACGGGGCAGGGCGACGGGACGGGGAAGGGCGACGGGACGGGGCAGGGCGACGGGACGGGGCAGGGCGACGGGACGGGGCAGGGCGACGGGACGGGGAGACGGGACGGGACGGGGCAGGGCGACGGGACGGGGAGACGGGACGGGGAGACGGGACAAGGCGACGGGACGGGGAGACGGGACGGGACGGGGCAGGGCGACGGGACGGGGAGACGGGACGGGGAGACGGGACAGGGCGACGGGACGGGGAGACGGGACGGGACGGGGCAGGGCGACGGGACGGGGGAAAAGGGCGCGACTCGACTGGGGGGAAAGGGCGCGACGCGACGGGGGGAAAGAGCGCGACGCGACGGGGGGAAAAGGGCGCGACGCGACGGGGGGAAAGGGACGCGACGAGGGGGAAAGGGCGGGCAGGACGCGACGCTAGGAGTGGCGCTAGGCGCGGCACTACGCGCGGTAACAACGGAACCGGGACGAATGAGAGCTAGGATCAGGCTCGGGAGGCTCGAACGGAGAACGGAGGAACGGGATCCCACAGGATCCTAACCTAACTGATACCATGTCAAAATGAAGAATGGATGGTGCATTGATGTTGGTTGGGGTACATATAGCTAACCCTAAGTTTTGTACCCTCTAAGACAAACCTCACTATAGGCTACAACATTTGACACATCAGACCAAATTGGTCTGATAACGAGAACCCTGTACAAGGCACAGTTGATAGGCAGCAACTTAGATCCAGGGCAAATTCTGCACTCCACCACTCTCGGCGAATCAGATTTGGAGCCAAAGGACCAAGACTGTACATCCGTCACAAAGGTCCCGCTCGGCAGCAATTTCGAACCAGGGTTTTCTCTGTTGGATCCCAACCTTTTTACAAGGCACGGCAAGGCAGGCTCGGAGCCGATTCTTCCCAGCCGAAGCGACAGACACAGAACCTGGAACCTACCGAGGCGTTTCTGCCAGAGTTGAAGTGTGCCAACGGCACAAAGAGGTTTTGTAGTGGGCAAGTTGAATTTTTTATGCGTTTGGTCTATAAGCCTCCAAAGATCTCTGCGAGGGTAGGGTATACACTACCTATGCCCTCTAGCTCCGGTTACGACCGACGGTGTTTTGCGTTGTACGTTGTATAATGCATTTTCACCTATCAAAAAAAAAACAAGAGGCGACAAGGTCGTCCTAGGGTTGCGAAGCTCTTTCTGTAATGGTAAGTACAATTTAGTGAGTTGTACATCCTCAGAAAATGTACACAATAGCATGACGCTCAACAGGCAATTCCTAGGCAAAGAGTCGAAAATATGCACTCGCGGGATTCGTACCCTCGACTTTTCGATCGCAGACTCACACTCCAACGACTCGGCCAATGCCTCTGAATTAGGTTTTTAACAAAATTTTTATCGTGCTATTTGGTTGCGACGAATCTGACACATTCCTAGGGTTTGATCGACCCTTTTCCTCCCTTCCTCTCGTTAACTGAGCTCCCCGCTAGTCAGGTTCCACCAACTAATTCAAGTATCTACTAAGGTGAAAACAATCCTAACCTATCAGGTAGTTTTAAGTTAGATGATACAAGCTAGGCTAACATGTGTCGATCTCTTCTCAAAGTCGTTTATAGGGAATGTTCTATGGTTTGGTTTTTTTCCTTCGTTTTCCTTGTCCTACTTGAAGCAATCCACCCCCCCTCTCCTACTTCCTCTCGTTCTGCCAACGAGCTACGGGAGTTTCCACTAGGTAAGAACTTACAGCTTAAAGTCGTTCGACTTAATTCTAACTTAGGTCGACTTAGATTCAACCTAGGTGGACTTCGATCTTGGTTTAACATATGTTGATTTAGGCCGGCTGGCCATTTCGTCCTATTTAACTGTTGATTTAGGCCGGCTGGCCATTTCGGCCTATTTAACTAAGTCAATTTGTTTAGTACAAGCCATTGGCTGTAATGTACCTATCTTAGCCTCATTCCATCCGTTTGTTTCCTTTCCATTTCAAATTTTCGTTTTCTTTTTCATTTCTGCATGAAGTTTTCTATCTCTCTTTCTCACTGTTTTTTCTTTCTCTCAGCAGCCTCTTCAGTTCGTTGAACTTTTTTCTTCCTTCCATCTTGTAATTATTTCGTCTTTCATTCTTACGTGCTCTTCAGCTTTCTTTAGTTTAACGTCTATCCGTTCATTTTCTTTTAGCTTCCTGCTGTAGTGTATCTTTTCTTTCCATACATGTTTTCTTCACTTCGTTTGTTGATTCCTTCTTGTTCCCTTCTCTTTACTGTCAGTTTTTTTTCCTTGTATAGTCGTTCGATTTCAGCGTTATCCGGTCTTATATTGTATTCTTGCGTCTCTCCTTCCTACCTGTTGCATGTTCTCCTTTCTCTCTGCAATTCCCTTTCTCTTTTCTTCCCATATTACTTCTTTCCATCTTACGTGCCCTCCAGATTTTCCCTGTTTCATTTCTTAACCTTTCTTATCCTTGCTTTCTTTTTGTCTCAACTATTTCTTTCCCTTCTACGCATTCATTTCATTTCCCTACATTGTCTAATCGTTTTGTTATGTCTTTCTGTTGCGTTCTTTGCTGATTGTTTTACCACTCCCCTCTCATTCTCATCTTGTTCCTTCTCTTCTCTTGCGTATTCTTCTTCTTGTCACTTGTTTCCTTTTGTTTGGTAAGTAGTATTACTGTTTTATTCTGTTGATGTCTTCACCACCCATTCTGCACTCGTAACGTTTTTATGTCTATTCCTTGCTTTGATCTATTACTTGCTTCCGTTCGTATATTCGCCGTCTCCTTTCTTTCATCGTCCTTGTCCTAAGCCTTCCTCTTATTTGATTGTTTATTGGACAAGATAAAATCTTTCCCTCTCTCCCCCCCTCTTCCACCCACTACCCCTCCCTCTCCCCCCCCTTTTTTTATGTTTAGAGGCTTTGCTGTTTGCTACAGGCTGCCAAGATTACTTATGAAGTATAACGATAATAGTTATGATTTGTGGAGCTGCATTGTATTGATAATTCTCGTTTGCATTGGTTTTATTGTTTCTATTGTTTCTGCATTGCCCTTGTGTGTGTGAAAGGATTGTGTCTGAGATTTTGTGTGAGCATATCCGTATGTGCGTCGTGTATGTGTCTTCGTGTGTGCACACTCATCCATATGCATTTATCATTGCATTAACAATGCGCATCTGTGGATTTTAAAAAGATGGTCAAACCATCATTTCCGAGAAGGTTCTTTGCCCACTCAGTGAGTGTGTTCATTTGAACTGGATTTGATGGATTTTGATCATTTTTTTGGTTTTCACAGATTGTGTTGTTTCATGTAACAGTTGGATGATTCAGGAACTATGCTATTGAGCTCCCCCCCATGCTAGGCAGGGGATGCGGTAGCATAGGGTCTGGGTTAATTAACTGTTGCGCATTTCGATCATGGTATACATTCATTTCACTACACTGGACGTATACCCAGATATATATTATATTCACAACAGGAGCATATGCATTGCATTTATGCACTTCTGTTTAATATTTAATTCATCATATCCATCATTATATTTCATCTATGCATAACATCATTCCGCATAGCATATGCATTATGGAATAAAAATTCACTCGTTACCGGTAATATCATTTTGGCAATCCATACAGTCAGGGCAAACTAGGAAACGAGAAAGAATTTAGTATGGCATGTGCTAAAATGCCATGGCAAATACAGGAGTCAAACACTTAGCTCTCATTCACTAGGTTTTTTTTTCATTGTTTTTTTAGATGATGAAAAAAAATTGTACATAACGATTGTAATAGGTTGCTTAGCAACCCAAAAAATGAACGAAAGCTGATCCTGTCCAGCCTTTCTGTAAAATGCAGTGTTACAACCCTAAATGTGGTAACTGACAGGGTTTATGAACTGTAAATGTACGCACTGGACACTCCCTTACGCTTCCCTTGAGAACTTCATCGTGCACACTTTTCGCATCTTGGCCAGATGTACCAGCACCTTGGACAGTCATCTACTTGTCTGCTCTCTACTGATCCGTTCTTAGAAGTCGAGACGACGTTTTTGCTCCGTTACCATATTCTCAGTCACTCGCCGTGACACCCGGGTACCTTGATCGCCATTTGCGTCGTTGCAGAAGCAGCCACTAAAAGAAGAGTTGATTTTAAAGGGTATGAAGCGGGAGATTGATGAAGCGGGTCAAGGATTATCCGAGCCGGCCGTTAGAGAGGTGCGCATGAGATCGGGATGGGTGAACGCTCTTGTTTCAGTCTGCTGCTTGCTGCACGAAAGTTGGTAATCCGTGGATTTACATCTTCGGAACCAATTTTGTTTTCAGGGACAAAATAAGCATCCGAAGACAACGGGAAGCATCTTGAGACCTGGTCAGTGTGAGTTCACACCAGATTCATAGTCGTGGTGGTCGTGAATGTCATTGTCAATGTGGTTCGGGCTCACAGTTCTTTGTCTTACCTTGCAACACCGTATCTCCGTGCCTTCTGTGTTTTCAACATGGGCATTGATTTCCTTCAATATGTCTTTCTTCCTTTCCATGTTACTTTCGTGCAGAGGTCACGAAGATCCTCTGTGATTTTCTAGAGGTCGCAGTGAACCATCTTCTCTACCTGCGCTCCATATATCCTCCAGGTAATGCACGTTGCTCTGCATTAGTGGTGTTTTTCTGTCTGCTAACTTATCCACAGAGCCACTGTTGCACGCCGACTGCTGCAGTTTCGTTAATCGTTAACATTCGTATCTTGTCTTGCTCCCTTCTTTGTGAATTATCCAATTATGTTCTCAGAAATATTTCATCGCAGCCGTTTCGCATCGGTGCCTGTGTACTCCAGCAGGCACCCCGGCCTTCGCTGCTACATACGAGACGCCATCAATGACCTTTCTCCATACATCGACAAGGTATAAGCATCTGCACACCATGTCTTCGTGCCAGCATGGCCGTCTTCCCGTCAGCCCGTTGTTTCCATCTGTTTCGTGTCCCTCCCTCGTCATCTCTCCTATCTTCTTTCTTTATCATGCGTGGCTTGCAGGGGGTTGTGGAACGAATTGACCTGGCCGTTTTCTCATCAGATGGAAGAAAAGTATACGAGAGAATAGTCTTTGACTTTTCCATTTTCCAGCCAGCGCCTTCTGGCATTTCTGCAGCTCAGCAGGACAGCGTGGAGCCAATTGAATATTGCCTGCGCTCGTTTCTCGTCAAAGCGTCCGTTTCAGAGTGCCTCCAACGACCCCTGCCTCAAGGTGTGTCTGCGCATAGTAAATGGACCACTTTTCCGTTTCAAGCGTTCCACATTACATTTGAAACGCTCTTTCATCTGCTGCATCCGCATCAGCCTGTGTGCAATGTGGAATAGTTTACCAAGTCATTGGCCTTCCCCAAATCGTTCCTTCTCTACCTTCGTATTTTAATTTCCTTCTCAGACTGTGTATGGGAGCTCGTTGCTCACTCCAAGAACCTTCCTTCAGGCCGAAGCTCCAGCGGCCAGTTCTGGATTCCAGCTGATTCTTCCTCAGAAGGCCGTGTGCCTGATGGAGCAGGGTGCATGAATTCCCGTGGTGCCACAACTGGTGGTGCTCCTGGTGAAACTCGCTCTTCTAATGGTTGTGCTCAGCCTCTGGATCTGAATGCAGGTCTTGATGGTGCACGCTTGTACACATCGAGTGGGGCGTCTGTAAAGGTGCCTAGGTTGTTTCCTATCAAGTCCATGAACACTGGAATGCTGTCACTACAGCTCTATCTTGAGCGTCCTTGAATGCATTTGTTCGTCTTTTGTGTGTATAAGAAAATGCAAGTGTAGCTTTGTTATTTTGCTTGCATATTGCTTGTGTGGTTCATTCACCTCGCCATGTGAATCCCGACTTGGAGCTACTCTCGCGTACTCAACTTCGGTATTCACTAAGCTAGGTCGGGGATTCTAGGATCTTCAGAAGCAGGAGTATTTCTGTACATACATTCGCGGTTCGATTGCTAAACCATCCATCCATTTTCTTACGCGACTTCTGACCCCTGACGGAAATCTGGTTATACACATTTCACTGTCTTTGTTCTGCAAATTATTCATTTTCGAATCGCGTCGCGATATTCACAGAGACCTCTTCTTCTCTACGAGCACGCACGTCCCATGGCTGATGCGAAGGATATATTGGGATTGCCGAAAAAATCGCTACCGGGCACGCCTGGCGGAGCGGGATTGGGTGGGGCCGCTGGGGTGCCAGGGAGTGCGGGGAAGGGGAAGAAGCGGGAGCGGGATGGCGGAGGGCGGGCGATTCCCGAGGGGATCAGCCGAGAGGTAGGGAGCGGACAGGGAGCGACCGAGTGAGGGTTCCTGGGGGGATGAAGAGTGAAAATGAAGTTGCGGAGAACGACAGGGGGAAGAGGGAATGTGGACGGGATGGGTGGAAGGAGAATTGGATAAGGGGGGAGGAGGAGGAAAATTACAGTGGTGATTGAGGAGGATTTTACTTCCTCTAGTCAACGTGCAATGGTGATGGTCATTCATTAGGGTTTCAGGCAATTTGACCAGTGCGTGTTTGTTAAGAACTTCCTTTCCTCCTCTTGTCTGTTTAATGCCTGCTCCTCCCCCACCAGGTCTATGCTCTCACGGGTGGTTTACCCCCAATAATGCCGACTTTCGACCCTATGCTCCTGCTCAAGAAAAGAAGTACTCCTTCACAAAAGGTTTGGCAGCCATTGACCCGTCTATACTATACCGGAATAAAATGTGTGATATGAATCAGTTTCCATACAGTGCTAGTGTTTTTGTGTATATTGGGATATGTATTAATTTACTGGAGCCTGTATAGGGAAAGAGTCTGTATCTTCCACTGGTGGTTCCTTGGTTGATCCCTCACTCTTTCTCACACCTCGTTCAAAAATTAGCACTCCCCCTTTCCCTAACCGTCCAACGTCTCTTTCCTGTTCCTGTCAGGTGACGTGGCAGTGGAAGCCAATTGTTTCATCATCCGCCCGGCCAGACGACCTGAAAATCTACCACTGGGTAAGGGGAAAAGCTTTTCTGAACAACTGAAAGTATTCAAAAGAAATGACGGAGGGGGAAACAGTGGAAGTTTAACCTTATTATAAGCGGCGAGTGTAGTTAGCATGTGTGTTTTCTCGGTATGGTGTGTATATGTCCGTCCATGCGTTTGCGTGTGTATCTGTGAGACCCTGGTTTGACGTGTTTTCTTTGCTTCGCTTCAACATGGTTTCCGTTGCATTGCTTTGGCGATGGCGATGCATATTTGGGTGCCAACAGGTTTAAGTGGTGGTCGGCAAAGTGTTTGAGACGCCTCAAATGTTGTCTAATGTGTTTTCTTTGCTTTGCTTCGGCATGTTTCCCTTTGGTGTGCGTTGCTTTGCCGATGGCAATGCATATTTGGCCACAAACAGATCAAAGTGGTGGACGGCAAAGTTCCAACAGAAGACTATTCTTTTGCCAAATACAACAAGGTCTGTTACAATCGATGGCACCGTCTTAGGCACATGTGTTGCGGCACTCAAGATGCACCGCATCGCGTAATGCGGGGAAAAAAAAAAAAAATCAACTGTGGCATCCATCGATTCCCACTTGACCCACCTCTTGTGATTCTCGCCTCCTCCCGGCCCACTCCATCCCGCTTTCTCACTCCCTCCCACTCCTACTTCGCCCACTACTCTCACTTCCCCGCATCCTTTTTCCGTGGCAGCCGCCTCAAGTGCTACGGTATACTGACGAAGAGTACAAGCGTCTGCTCTACCACCCGGTAACACCCGTGCTTAATGAATCGTCACAAAACCGTACCTGATATCCCTCCCTCCTTCCCTCCCTCCCTCCCTCCCTCCCTCCCTCCCTCCCTCCCTCCCTCCCTCCCTCCCTCCCTCCCTCCCTCCCTCCCTCCCTCCCTCCCTCCCTCCCTCCCTCCCTCCCTCCCTCCCTCCCTCCCTCCCTCCCTCCCTCCCTCCCTCCCTCCCTCCCTCCCTCCCTCCCTCCCTCCCTCCCTCCCTCCCTCCCTCCCTCCCTCCCTCCCTCCCTCCCTCCCTCCCTCCCTCCCTCCCTCCCCTCCCTCCCTCCCTCCCTCCCTCCCTCCCCCCTCCCTCCCTCCCTCCCTCCCTCCCTCCCTCCCTTCCTTCCTACCCTCCCTCCCTCCCTCCCTCCCTCCCTCCCTCCCTCCCTCCCTCCCTCCCTCCCTCCCTCCCTCCCTCCCTCCCTCCCTCCCTCCCTCCCTCCCTCCCTCCCTCCCTCCCTCCCTCCCTCCCTCCCTCCCTCCCTCCCTCCCTCCCTCCCTGCCTCCCTTCCTCCCTCCCTCCCTCATAGATCTCTGTGCATCAGTCACCAATTCTCTCGTGTTCTCTGGTATCTCTCCTTTATCCTTTTTCTTCCTTCAGTTCCATTGCAGTGCAGTGCTGGACCAGGGAAGAGACAGACTTGCTCATGGATCTCAGCTCTGTGTTTCGTACCATACAAATCCACTGGTCCCATGTCTCTCGTCCCTTTCCTCCTTCCTCCTTCCTGCTGCAATTCCATAACCCCACATGCCACCAGCGTTAGACCAGGAAAGAGACAGACGCACTTATGGACATCTGCGCACGCTTCGGGCCGCGTTTCATCGTCGTTGCCGACCGTTGTAACTCCAACGTTGACCTCAGCCCCCCAAACCACCCTCGTCCCTTATGCAACTCTATTCCTTCCAGCGCTGGACCTGGGAAGAAACAGACGCGCTCATGGATCTCTTCGCCCGATTCGGCCCGCGTTTCATCGTCGTTGCCGACCGTTACAACACGGACGTCGACCCTCCCCACCCCCACTTTTCCCCCCCCCCCCCTTTCCCCCTCCCCCGCCCCACCCTCGCCCCTTATGCAACTTCATTCCAGCGCTGGACCCGTGAAGAAACAGACTCGCTGATGGATCTCTGCGCACGATTTGGGCCGCGCTTTATCGTCGTTGCCGACCGTTACAACACCAGCATTGACCATCTCCCCCGCCCTCGCCCCCTATACAACCCTATTCAACCCTATTCATTCCAGCGCTGGACCCGTGAGGAAACAGACTTGCTCATGGATATCTGTGCCCGGTTCGGGCCGCGTTTCATCGTCGTTGCCGACCGTTACAACACGGACGCCGAGCGTTACAATGCGAGCATTGATCAGCCCGCTGCTCCAGGCCATGTCAGTGCATCGACAGGGGCGTGCTGCTGCTGCTGCTGCTGCTGGTGGTGGTGCTGGTCCTGGTGCTGGTAATTTATGGTGGTGTTGCTGTTGGTGCTGCTGGGAATGGTGGTGCTGATGCTGCGTCTACTGATGGTGCAGCTGCTGGTGTGGATACAGATGGTCGTATTTGCAAGGAAGAGTCATTTGGGGGAGCTGGGGCTATGAAAGACGAGCCTAGGGAAACCACTGCCGGTGCAGGAGAGGCAGGAGCAGGGGGGACAGGTGGGGCGGCAAGAGGGGCGGCAGGTGGGGCGGCAGGGGTTGGAGCTTCTGCAGCAAAGGCTGGCGAACCAAGATCAAGTGCGGTGAAGAGGAAAGAAAGAACGGTGGAGGAGATTAAAGAGCGGTACTACGATGGTGAGTGATGGGAATCCTTTTTTCTGGGCGCCTCAATTGATGTCTTGCTGCATGCAAGTCACATTTGGATTAGAGAGCAATTTTTCAAGATTCGTGGGGGGTTGGTGTAGCGCTGTTCTTCATGGGTCTAGTGGTTCTGATGCAACAGGTACAACTGATGGAGGTACAACTGATGGAGGTACAACTGATGGAGGTACAACTGATGGAGGTACAACTGATGGAGGTACAACTGATGGAGGTTCAACTGATGAAGGTACAACTGATGGAGGTACAACTGATGGAAACTGATGGAGGTACAATGGATGGAAACTGATGGAGGCACAACGGATGGAAACTGATGGAGGTACAACTGATGGAGGTACAACTGACGGAGGCACAACTGATGGAGGTACAACTGGTTGAGACGCAAACAAATTTCTATACTATTCCCTCTTTATCCCCTCATCACTCACGCTGTTCTGTGCAGTTACCAAGAAGCTTCTTGCATCACGAGCAGCAGCAGGCGAAGAAGTGCCAATGGGTTTATTACCTAAGGTGGGTGGGTGGGGGTGAGAGATGAATTTCGAGGTGCAAATAGAAAGGCGCAGCAGGCGAAGAAGTGCCAATGGGTTTATATAAGGTGGGTGGGTGGGAGTGAGAGATGAATTTTGAGGCGGCTATACGTACGAAGGAGTTGCATCAGGCAAGGAGGCAGCAATTGGTGATTGCCTAAGGTGGGTTCTGAGTCGACTGAAAAGGTGACTTTTGAGTCGACTGAAAAGGTGACTTTTGGGTCGACTCAAAAGCTAGGAGGAGTTGCATCAGGCAAGGAGGCAGCAATTGGTGATTGCTTAAGGTGGGTGAGGGATTCTTTGAGTCGAGAAATTCGTTTTATTAAAACGGATTGGCAACAGGCAAGGAGATGGCAATAGCAATCATTGCCTATGCTGGTTGAGAGTGGTTTTAAGGCGTCTATAAATGAATAAAAAAAATAAATAAATAAATATATAAATAATCAATTAAAATTATCGTGTGAGGAGATGCCATTGGTTGATTGCCTAGTGTGGGTAAATGAGCCTGCGTTGCAAATCATGTGGTCTGCGCTACAACACTCATTCGCACAGAGGAAGATTCGCAACATCCCATCCCTTAACATCTCATCGCCAGACTTCTCGCTTCCCCTTCCCCTGCTTACTCCGCCTCATTGAAATCACTTGTGAGAATTCTCAAAAGTGCTTTCAACATCACATCCCCTAACATCTCATCGCCAGACTTCCCACTTCCCCTTCCCCTGCTTACTCCGCTTCGCCTCCCCCTGCAAACCTCTCATTAAGGACGGCTATAACATGCGTGCTGAGGTGAAACGCACGTCCGTGCTGCTGCCTTACTCCCCACGTTTTTTGCTCTCCTCTCTCCTTCCTCCTCTTACTCCCCTCCCTGCGTAACCCTACCCTCAACTGCAAACCTCTCATTCAGGACGGCTACAACATGCGTGCTGAGGTGGAGCGCAAGACCCTGCTGTTTCCCCATTCTTTCCCTTCTCCTCACACATTTCCCGTTCTCCTCTCCCCTTCCTCCTCTTACTCTCCTCTCCCCGCCCACCCTCTCAGGACGGCTGAGGTGGAGCGCAAGACCCTGCTGTTTCCCCACTGTTCGCCCTTCCCCCACACACTTCCCACTCTCCTCTCCTCGCCCGCTCTCCCTCTCCTACTTATTCAGCACGGCTACAACATGCGTGCTGAGGTGGAATGCAAGACCCTGCTGTTTCCCCATTCTCCACACTTTCCCTCACACATTTTCCCCTCTCCTCTCCTCGCCCGCTCTCCCTCTCCTACTTATTCAGCACGGCTACAACATGCGTGCTGAGGTGGAATGCAAGACCCTGCTGTTTCCCCATTCTCCACACTTTCCCTCACACATTTTCCCCTCTCTTCTCCTCGCCCGCTCTCCCTCTCTTACTTGTTCAGGACGAGTACAACATGTGTGCTGAGGTGGAGCGCAATACCCTGCTGTTTCCCCCCATTCTCCACACTTTCCCCCACACACTTCCCCCTCTCCTCTCCTCGCCCGCTCTCCATTTCCTACTCATTGAGGACGGCTACAACATGCGTGCTGAGGTGGAGCGCAATACCCTGCTGTTTCCATTCTTTCCCTTCTCCTTACACACTTCCCTCTCTCCTCTCCCCTTCCTCCTCTCTCCTTCCCCCTCTTACTCCCCTCTACCCACCTTCTCAGGACGGCTACAACATGCGTGCTGAGGTGGAACGCAAGACCCTGCTGGCCGCACAGCTGGCGCTGACTAGGCGCCAGCTGGCAGAGGAGGAGAAGGTGAGGTGGACAAGAGGGTAGGGGTGGGAGGTTGGTGGATGGGCGGAGAGAAAGTGGAAAGGGGAGAGAGGGAGAGGGGAGAGGGGAGGGGCAAAGGGGAGAGAAAAGAGAGAGGGGAGGGAGGAGCAGTAAAACCAACACATTAGATCAGAGTAGAAAGAATACCCAGTGTGGTCTTACCCAAGATTAGTACCGGTAGACTTAGTTCTACAGATCAATTTTAATCTCTTAGAAGGCTTGCAGCGGTTTGAAACCAATCGATTCTCAACAAGATCAGAGTAGAATACCCAGTGTGGTCTTACCCAAGACCCTTTCCCTGACTTGGTTTAGACAGGTGCTTCTGGCAGAAAGGATGTTTAAGGCCCGAGGTGAGGTGTGTTGACTTTTGAGTCGACTCAAAAGTCTGCTGGCAGAAGCAGAAGGGATGTTCAAGGGCCGAGGTGAGGTGTGGACAGATCAGCAGTTGAAAGAACACAAGTGACCAGGGCTTGTTTGAGTTGTGTCAAAGGCATGTTGCGTGTTGCCATTTTTCAGTGTGGTTCTACAGGTGCTGGCAGAAGCGGAGAGGATTCTTAAAGCCCGAGGGTGGACAAATGAGCAGTTGAAGGAACACAAGGAGAGATTGCAGTCGAGGGAGAGGAGAGGGAGAGGGAGAGGGAGAGGGAGAGGGAGAGGGGAGAGGGAGAGGGAGAGGGGAGAGGGAGAGGGACAGGGAGAGGGAGAGGGAGAGAGAGAGCGTGAGGGAGAGGGAGAGGGAGAGGGAGAGGGAGAGGGGAGAGGGAGAGGGGAGAGGGAGAGGGGAGAGGGGAGAGGGAGAGGGTGAGGGAAAGGGAGAGGGAGAGGAGAGAGGGGAGAGGGAGAGGGTTTTGAGACGTGTCACAGCCACGGTGCATGTTTCTGTTTTCACTTGTTGGGTGCAGGTGCTGGCCGAAGCAGAGAGAATACTGACAAGCAGCTGAAGGAACACAAGGAGCGATTGCAGTGGAGGGAGAGGGAGATGGGAAAGGGAGAGAGAGAGGGAGAGCTTTTTAGATGTGTCATAACCATGCTGTGTGTTTCCGTTTCCCCCTGTGGTTTAACAGGTGCTGGCAGAAGCGGAGAGGATTCTTAAAGCCCGGGGGTGGAGTGACGAGCAGTTGAAAGAACACAAGGAGAGATTGCAGTCGAGGGAGAGGGAAAGGGAGGAAAGGGAGAGGGAGGAAAGAGAGCGGGAGGAGAGGGAGAGGGAGGAGAGGGAAGAGAGGGAGAAGGAGAGGGAGAAGGAGAGGGAGAGGGAAAGGGAGACGGGGGAGAGGGAGGTGGAGGCGAGGAGGCGGCAGGCAAAGCAGCAAACTGTGAAGCTGGTGAGGAGCAGGGGAAAGATGGTAACGTTGAGTTTTGAGGCGCCTCAAAACTAGCTGGTGAGGAGCAGGGAAAAGATGGTAACGTTTTACTTTTGAGTCGACTCGAAAGGCAAAGCAGCAAACTGTGAAGCTGGTGAGGAGCAGGGGAAAGCTGGTAACGTTTTACACCACCACTAATTGTAACGCCGTTGTTACAATCTTTCCAGCTTCGTTGCCATGCTGATACTGCTGAGAAGTAGTGGTTTCTGAGAAAGTCTATACACAGCTATTCAAAAACTGAATGCGCGCTCTAAGTTTCACCTCACCCCACCCTCCCCCTCTCCCTCATTCCTCTCCACTTTTTCCCACAGGCCGCCATTCCCCCATCCCCAACCCTCTCCTCCCGGGCACCACCCGCAACACCAGTCACTCCTCTGCAAGACGCCCACGTGGCAGCCCCAACTGTGCCCGCATCTGCATCCACGTCAGCAGTTGTCCATGCTGACGTGGCGCCAGCTCATGCGCCCGAGCGGACACGTCAGCACGCGGTGTCAGCAGGAGGGTCTCGGGGCGCTCTTGCTGCTCCGGTGTCAGCCCAGGCTGGCAACACCAGAGTGGTGAGCTGGATGGGATAGGTGCTGGTGATCAGTCAGTGGGTAGATAGGTCCTTGCTGCTCCGGTGTCAGCCCAGGCTAGCAACGCGAGAGTGGTGAGTTGGGAATGGAAGAGTGATGAGTTGGAATTAGTGTGTTTGCATGCGACTTCTGAGTGGAAACGGGTAGGTAGGTCCTTCCTTGCTGCTCCGGTGTCAGCCCAGGCTGGCAATGCAAGAGTGGTGAGTTGGGATAGCGGTGTGTGCATGTGACTCAGTGTGTAAATGCAATAGGGGCGCCCTTGCTGCTCCGGTGTCGGCTCAGGCTAGCAATACTAGAGTGGTGAGTTGGAACGGGTATGTTTACGATATGCATGTGACTTTTCAGTCGACTCAAAAAGTGCATGTGTGTGTGAGTGTGGCCCACCCTCCTTGTCCCATTCACTGTGCCTGTGTCCTCCACATTCCCTCTGCTCCTTCCACCCTCTCCCTCCTTCCCTCTTCCCACCAGCCACGTGTCTTTGTGCGGCGTCCTCTCCTGGCGTCTACCCTCCTTATGTCACTGCCGTCTCCTTTGCTCCACATTCCCCATCCTCCCCCATCCTCCCTCATGCTCCCCCCATCCTCCCGCCATCCTCCCCCCATCCTCCCCCCTGCCCTCCACCCGCCAGCCACGTGTGTTTGTGCGGGGTCCTCGTCTGGCCTCCACCCTCCTCGCCTCCACCACCACTGCTGGCGCTCGAATGGCCAAGCGCATCGAGAACACTCTTCAAGAGCTGGGGGTGAGTGGGGTGTGTTGGGTTGGGCCAGGAAGGGGGAGGGGGACGTTGGGGAAAGAGGGCAGGGGTCTGGCCTCCACCCTCCTCGCCTCCACCACCACTGCTGGCGTTAGAATGGCCAAACGCATCGAAAACACTCTTCAAGACCTGGGGGTGAGCGAGTCGTGTTACATTGTAATGAGGTGCGTTTTGAGTCGAGTCAAAGGCCACCTCACCACCCTCCTCGCCTCCACCACTACTGCGGGCGCTAGAATGGCCAAACGCATCGAAAACACTCTTCAAGAGCTGGGGGTGAGTGGGATGTGTAGGAGTTAGATTGGTTGGTGAGGCCAAGCGCATCAATTCACGCACACTTCAAGAACTGGGTGTGAGTGAGATGTATAGGGACTAGACCCACATCACATCACATGCGGCACGAGCCGGTGGTGAGTGAGATGTCTTTCAAGTAGAGAAGGGGCCTCGTAAGGTGAGAGCTTTAGCGTTTCTTAAAGAGCCGTTTCTAGAGAGCCAGCTTGAATTGAGGAATAATTATGTGCTGGTTTCCAAGAGAGGTGACTCCAAAGTAGTTTTGTGAGGCGCCTTAAAAAAATGTTGAATAAAAGGACCTTTGTCTTCCAATAGCCCCGCCCTCCACCATCCACTACCCTCCTACTCTTCCGCCCCTCCTTTGTCCCTCACTCTACCCCTTGTACTGATTTCCGCTGGCCCCACTCCCCAGGTGCCCTTGGCCCCACGCGTGCCCACGCGGGAGGTGTATCCGAAATACTGACACACCGCCCCCCGTTCCTTACTCTCCCTCTGCCCATACTCTCCCTCTGCCCATACTCTCCCTCTGCCCATACTCTCCCTCTGCCCATACTCTCCCTCTGCCCATACTCTCCCTCTGCCCATCCTCTCCCTCTGCCCATCCTCTCCCTCTGCCCATACTCTCCCTCTGCCCATCCTCTCCCTCTGCCCATCCTCTCCCTCTGCCCATCCTCTCCCTCTGCCCATCCTCTCCCTCTGCCCATCCTCTCCCTCTGCCCATACTCTCCCTCTGCCCATGCTCTCCCTCTGCCCATCCTCTCCCTCTGCCCATCCTCTCCCTCTGCCCATACTCTCCCTCTGCCCATGCTCTCCCTCTGCCCATCCTCTCCCTCTGCCCATCCTCTCCCTCTGCCCATCCTCTCCCTCTGCCCATCCTCTCCCTCTGCCCATGCTCTCCCTCTGCCCATCCTCTCCCTCTGCCCATCCTCTCCCTCTGCCCATACTCTCCCTCTGCCCATACTCTCCCTCTGCCCATACTCTCCCTCTGCCCATCCTCTCCCTCTGCCCATCCTCTCCCTCTGCCCATACTCTCCCTCTGCCCATCTTCTCCCTCTGCCCATACTCTCCCTCTGCCCATACTCTCCCTCTGCCCATCTTCTCCCTCTGCTCCTCGCTCTCTCCACACCCCAGGTGCCCCTCGCACCCCGTGTGCCCACGAGGGAGGTGTGTGCAGAGTACGTGGCGCTGAGGAAAGGAGTGTGCTATCTTCAAACAGCCCCTCTGTCCAATCCTCTCCTCCTGCTCCACCTCTTCTCATGCCGTCCTTCCCCTCCATATCCAGGTGCCCCTTGCACCCCGTGTGCCCACGCGGGAGGTGTGTGCAGAATACGTGGCGCTGAGGACTAGAGTAAACAGCCCCTCTGCCCATACTCTCCCTCTGCCCATACTCTCCCTCTGCCCATCTTCTCCCTCTGCTCCTCGCTCTCTCCACACCCCAGGTGTCCCTAGCACCCCGCGTGCCCACGCGGGAGGTGTGTGCGGAATACGTTGCGCTGAGGAAAGAAGTGGTTGCGCTGCTGAACCTGCAGAAGAAGGTGAGGGAAAAGAAGGGGTGATGGGAGTTGATGTCTTATATTGTGATATGATATGATCAGAATATGTTGCGCTGAGGAAAGAGGTCGTTGTTTTGGTAAACCTGCAGAAGAAGGTGATTATTATTATTATATGATTGATTCAAAGTGGAATGTTATTATCATGTCAGACTCTCTCGCTCACTTGTATTTCCGCTCTCAGAAACACATGTGCATGCGAGCGCGCACACACACACACACACACACACTCACAATCACACACACACACACACACACACACACACAATCGCACACTCGCACACTCGCACACTTCCACTTGACCACGTACATCCACTCCTCCCATCCAAACGTCCCATTGCATACTCACTCACACACTCACTCATACACCCACACTCACATACCCACACTCACACTCACTCCTCTCCGATCTATACGTCTCTTTGCAGGTACACTGGAAGGAAAACGAGCTTACTCTCTTAAAGGAGAGCCTTCAAAAGGAGACAGGGGGAGGGGCAGGCGGAGGGGGAGGAAAGGGTGTTGCAGGGGGGGGGAAGGGAGTGGCTGGTGGGGGGAAGGGGGTGTCTGGGGGGGCTAAGGGCGCAGGAGGGGCAACAGGGGCAAGCAAAGGGGGAGGGAAGGGGGGAGGGGGAGGAGGAACAGTGAAGGGGGGAGGAGGAGGAGGAGGAGGAGGAGGAGGAGGAGGAGGAGGAGGAGGAGGAGGAGGAGGAGGAGGAGGAGGAGGAGGAGGAGGAGGAGGAGGGGTGGGGGGAGGGGGAACAGAGAAGGGGGGAGGAGGTGTACCTACTGCTGCTCCAGCAGCAGCAGGAGTGCCAGCAGCAGGAGCAGCAACACCCCACCAAAAGCACCATGAGTCTTCCAACCTTGCACCCCTTTCCAGAGTGAGCTCATGCCTCATGCCTTCCTACCAAAGGGGTCTAAACCGATTCATGTAACAATTGCGGGTAACCCATGTAACAAGAAACTACTTTCGAGGCGCATTGAAAGTCCTTTTCAGAGAGAGCTCATGCCTCATGCCTTCCAACCAAAGGGGTATGACTTGATTCATGTAACAAATCTGTTACATCAACCAACCTTCGTGCTAGCTGTGCCTCTCCTGCTTCCTCGGCAGCCTCGGTTGCCCGGCATTGTCAGCACGCTATCTCCTGTCAACTCTCCTGTCAACTCTCCTAGTCAACTCTCTCCTATCCCACCATACCTTTTGCATCTATAACATGCATCATTCAACCCTTCGCGCACTCTCTCCCACAGCGAAAGCATTCTTCTGCCAGTTTGTATTTTGAGACTCCTCAAAATACAACTTTTATCACGTGCCCACAGTCAAAACATTCTTCTGCCACTTTGCACGAATGCCAAACCTATCCCTCCACCCCATATTCGAACCTACCCCCCTCCCTTGCGTTTGTACCTGCCTATCTTCCCTGGCCAGGCCTACCGAGGCTCAGGTTCGGAATCAGCTTCGGCGCTGCCTGCGTCATCGTCTGCTGTTGCATCAGGTTTGGCATCCGGTATGCCCATGCCATGCCAACTAGCTACTATGATAGTTGCCCGGCATCCGGTAATGGCCATGCCATGCCAGCTAGTTTCTATGATAGGCAGGTTGGCAGGTTGGCAGGTTGGCATGGTATGCTCACGCCATGCCATGCCAACTAGCTACTATGGTAGTTGATCGGCATCTATTCAACGTGCTATATCAATCATGTTTAATATGACCCACAAAATCTGTCCCATGCCATTCAACATGCAACACCTATCACGAACTAGGTGCTGCTTCAGGTTTACTTATGGGGTGACTTTCGAGTCAACTCCAAAGTCACTTTGATTGCTGCTTCAGGTGTACTTTTGGAGACAACTGATGCCTGTTGCTCACAACCCGCCCGTCAACACACTTCCTGCTCTCTCCACCCCTCATTCACACCTCTTCACCCCTCATCACCCGTCTCTAACCCCCTTCCACCACACTCCACCCCTCTTTGCATCTCTTCACAGGCACTGCTTCTATACCGCGGCCTGAAGTCGGGAGAAAGGTGAGTTAAGATCAAGTTATGGTTCGTTTCCAAGTGGTGGGCTGATGGGAATAAAACATTAGCTTGTGTTTCGTCACTGGGTTCTTTCCTCATTCTCCTTTGTTCTCAGTGCCTTGTGTCCTTCACATGCACAACCTAGTTCTGAGGCGCCTCAAAACTTGTTTCTCCTTTGTTCTCAGTGCCTTTTGCCTTTCACATGCACAACCTCCCCCCCCCCCCCCCCCCCCCCCCTCTTCCAAACCACTCCACCCCCTTCCCTTCAACCCTTCACATCTCACACTCCCCTTCCTCCTCCCTCTCTTTACCCCCACGCAATCAGCGCCAGGCAGGGTGGAGAGCATCTGAACCCAGCAGCACCGCTCTGTCTGCTGCTTCTGGGGCTGGCTCTGCTGGTGGTACGGGTGGTGGTGGGGGTGCTGCAGGTGGGGGTGCTGGTGGTGGGGGAGGGGGGGCACAGAAGCGAATCCGACGGCTCAAAATCACCGAAGATTGAGAGGGCTCTGCTGCACCTGTTGCTTCTGGGGCTGGCTCTGCTGGGGGTTCGGGTGGGGGTGGGGGTGCCGGAGGTGGGGGTGCTGGTGGTGGGGGAGGGGGGGCACAGAAGCGGATTCGGCGGCTCAAAATTACCGAAGACTGAGCCGAGGGATGTGTGGACAATGGCTTAGGAAAGTAGGCATGAGCAGGAGGGTTCTTCTGGTGCGGAGGTGGAACACAAGGGGCGGGTGGGGAACGTGTGTGCGGTTTGCACAAAAGTGAATTGCTAATTCAAGACCACAGAAGACTGAAAAGGCCCAGCTGTTGTCAGGGGTGGGTGGGATCCTCATGTTTTGGTAACGCTCCTGATAAGGGTGCTTCCTGATAAGCATGCTGTGGATAATTTTCAACATTGTCTGTATACTAGTAAAGAAGGTGTGCCATATTGTTTATATTTGTCACTTGGAAGCAGCAGCACTCGTGGTTCAAGTTGCATTGAATTGTTTAGCCGGCAAAACTGGAGGTACCTACTAAATAGTTGGATGGTACCCTAGTAACCCTACCCACCAATATCAGAGGCCCACTTCAAAAGGCAGAGTTACTTACTTTCATCAACACATAGAGTTAGCCCTTTGTCAGACACCTCAAAAGTTGCATCATCAGGCAAAATTGGAGGTAGTGGTAACAAAAACCTGGAGGTGGCACCACCAGCATCAGAAACACCCTTTGAGAAGCAGAGAGCACACCAGTCGCCATGCAATTTAGCCCTGCAGTTTTGAGACGTCTCAAAACTCAATTCAGCCCTGCTCTTCGGTCTTCGAATTCGTGTGCATTGTCCGGAAACGGAAACCTTGATCCTTGACTTGAGGCAGGTCATAGGACTGAGATGGCCCGGGGCATTCGTAAAGGTTCTCAAAAGTCCTTCTGGAGTTTACAGGAAGGGAACAGATGGTTCACCCAGAAAGTGAGCAACCATCAAAGAGAAGCTGCGGCTGATTTCTCCTGCATTTTGTTGTTTATTCTCTGGTCACCTCCTGCTCCTGCTGCTGCTCCTGCTGCTCCTGCTGCTGCTCCTGCTGCTCCTGCTGCCCCTGCTGCTGCTCCGGCTGCTGCTCCTGCTGCCCCTATTGCTTCTGCTGATGCTGATGCTGTCCCTGCTCCCCCTGCTGTTGCTACTGCCACTGCCCCTGCTGCTCCTGCTGCTGCCCCTGAAGCTCTGCTGCTGCCCCTGCTGCTCCTGCTACTGCCCCTGCTGCTGCTTCTGCTTCTTTTAAATTAGACGGAGCCGGCCAGAGCGACTGTCAGCTGTTAAAGAGAGTGTGGTGCGCACTGGCAAAAACTCTCCGGAAAAAAAAGGGAGGAGCAAAAACAAAAAAAGATAGAAGAAGGCGAAAGAAAGTACTGCGAAGAAAGCAGCGCCATGGTTCAGTAAGCACTGTGGACCAGCTTGTGAAAGTCAGAGAGGGAGAAAGGCACTTGTGATTCTCGAGATGCAGGAAAAACGCAGCGCTGGTGACTAAGCGCTGCTGTGAACTAGCTTGGGCAGGTCGAGACGGCGGAAGCGGATGGCAAAGTGCACGTCCTGCCAGAGGAAGGTGATGCGTGCGGCAGAGTCCACTAGCAGGCAACCGTTCACCCACTGCGGGCGCCGGAAGTTGTAGTCTGCCACCCGGCCCTGGCCCTGGCACCTGTTGGAGTGGACGGCGGACGGGAACGGGATCAGCAGGAGTGGGGAGCGGTGTGAGTAGGTGCAGTGAGAATTAGGGTGTTGCAAGCACCAGGCAAGTTATAGTGTGCCACCCGGCCTTGGCCCTGGCACCTGTTGGGGTGGACCGCGGATGGGGAAGGATCAGCAGGAGTGGGGAGCGGTGTGAGTAGGTGCGGTGAGAATTAGGGTGTTGCAAGCACCAGGCAAGTTATAGTGTGCCACCCGGCCTTGGCCCTGGCACCTGTTGGGGTGGACCGCGGATGGGGAAGGATCAGCAGGAGTGGGGAGCGGTGTGAGTAGGTGCGGTGAGAATTAGGGTGTTGCAAGCACCAGGCAAGTTATAGTGTGCCACCCGGCCTTGGCCCTGGCACCTGTTGGGGTGGACCGCGGATGGGGAAGGATCAGCAGGAGTGGGGAGCGGTGTGAGTAGGTGCGGTGAGAATCAGGGAGAGGCAAGCACCAGGCAAGTTATAGTGTGCCACCCGGCCTTGGCCCTGGCACCTGTTGGGGTGGACCGCGGATGGGGAAGGATCAGCAGGAGTGGGGAGCGGTGTGAGTAGGTGCGGTGAGAATCAGGGAGAGGCAAGCACCAGGCAACCATGCATATCCAACAAAGGCTAATAGGCCCATGGCAGTGGCATTGTGAGTTGGTGACATGAAACACGTTAAAGTGCACACTGTAAGATAAATCACTCAACTGACTAACCACTCAAATTGCAGCTCTGTGTCCTCATTTGCCCCTCCCCCTTCATCTCTGTGCATCAAAGCAGAGAGTCGCCATAGCCCTTTCCGTGTTGAGACGTCTCAGCACAGCATTTGTTCTGACGCATCTCAGCATTTCTTCTAAAACGTCTCAAAACTCAGGACCAAGCAGCCAGTCCACTCACACCCACACAAACTGTGGTTCTGTGCCCTCACCTCCTCCCGCGTCATGATCTGTGCGCATCACAGCTCGGGCCAGAGCCATGACTCTGTGCCACCTCCCTCCCCTCTCGCTCTGAGAAGTCTCAGCCTTGAGTTTTTCACACGTCTCAGGATTTCCTCTGAGAAGTTTCAAATTTAACAGCCAAGCAGTCAACTGACTTACATCCACACGAATTGCACTTCCGATCCTTCATCCCCTGCGTCATGATCCGTGTGCATCACAGCACGCGCCAGAACCGTCGCCCTCTGCCACCTCTCTCCCCTCTCCCTCCGCACCTCCGCTGCTCGCTCCCTCTCCCTCTCTGCTGCTCTTTCCCCGTCATTATCACCATCACAATCATCATCACCCCCCATTGTAATATCACTCCCATCAGTAGCACTGCTTCCTGCCCTTCTGCTGCTGCCGTCACCCCTGCTGCTGCCCTCACCCCTGCTGCTGCCCTCATCCCTCCCAGCGGACCCATCACCAGCATTGTCAGGAGGGGGGATGACGATGCTGCGAGTGGGAGTGGGCAGCACAGCCGCTCCCCCAGGACCTCTAGGCAGGACGGAGTCGGTGGGTGGAAGATCTGACAGGTCGGGGGGGCCTTGGGCTGTGGCGAGGCGGGCCTTGAAGGTCACTTGGCCGCAGGGCACGTTGGGATCGCCTGCAAGGGGATGAGGGGGAGACAAGAGAAAACGAAGGGGTTAGTTAGTTAGTGGTCAGCACGGGTTAGCAGCGGCACGGGCAGCCCTCCTGGTCCACGGGACAGGAGGCCGTCAGTGGGTGGAAGGTCTGATGGGTCGGGCGGGCCTTGTGCTGTGGCGAGGCAGGCTTTGAAGGTCACTTGGCCGCAGGGCACGTTCGGATCGCCTTCAAGGGAGGGAAGGAGGGAGGAAACAAGCAGGTCAGCAAGGGACAGTCAGCAGGGGTACGGGCGTTCCCCCGGGCCCATGGGGCAGGAGGCCTTCAGTGGGTGGAAGGTCTGAGGGGTCGGGTAGGCCTTGCGCTGTGGCAGGCGGGCTTTGAAGGTCACCTGGCCACAGGGCACGTTCGGATCGCCTGTGGTGAAAGGGGAAACAAGGCGAACAAGGGGCTTAAAGTGGGTCAGCTGGGGCACTGGCATGCCACCCCCCCACACAGGCCCACGGGGCAGGAGCGAGTCAGTGGGTGGGAGGTCTGATGGGTCAGGCGGGCCTTGAGCTGTGGCGAGGCGGGCTTTAAAGGTCACTTGTCCACAGGGCACGTTCGGGTCGCCTGCAAGGGGAGGACGGGGGGACAGGAGAAAACGAAGGGGTTAGTTAGTGGTCAGCACGGGTTGGCAGCGAGGTGACTTTTGAGTCAACTCAAAAGGCACGGGGACTCCCTCTGGCTCCCGGTGCAGGAACCACGTGTAGACAGTGAATTTTGAGACGTCTTAAAAATGGTCAGCACGGGTTGGCAGCGGCACGGGGACTCTCTCTGGCCCCTGGGGAAGGAGGGAGTCGGTGGTGGATGGAAGATCTGATGGGTCAGGTGGGTGAAATGAGCCGTGTCACAATCAGCATGCGCAGGACTTAAACCCCTATCAAACACCCAGACATCATACGAGCTGTGACCATAGTGGCGAATACCTCTCTACCTGTACAGGCACATTCAGAATCTTTACCTGTTACAAGCACACCCCAAGGTACCTCCTCTGCTGCATCTGCACCTCCCAATGCCCCCCCTCCCCCCCTCTCCAGCGCACCTGTGATTTCAGTGGCAACGATTTCTCCCCCTGTACAAGCACATTTAGGATCTCCACCCCATGCGGCCCATACTCGCCCGTCCACAGCCCCTCCACCCCATACGCCCACTCAGGCACCTCCTCCCCTGCCCCTCCCGATAAGTTCTGAGGCGCCTCAAAACTAGACCCATACGCCCACTCAGGCACCTCCTCTGCTTCACCTCCCATTCCAACTCCTTTATTTTTCCTCCTTTTCTTTCTTCTTCCAAACACCCTTACAATATCCCCCCTGTACAAGCACACCCTGCTCCAGCGTACCTGTGATTTTAGTGGCAACGATCTCTCCCCCCTGTACAAGCACGTTCAAAATCTCAACCCCATGCGGCCCATACTCGCCCGTCCACAGCCCCTCCAACCCATACGCCCACTCAGGCACCTCCTCTGCTGCACCTGCACCTCCCATTACACCTTCTCTCCCCCCTCCTCTTCCCCTTCCAGCGTACCTGTGATCTTCGTCGCAACAATCTCTCCCCCCTGTACAAGCACGTTCAGAATCTCCACGCCATGCGGCCCATACTCGCCCGTCCACAGCCCCTCCAACCCATACGCCCACTCAGGCACCTCCTCTGCTGCCCCTCCCCTTTTCCCTCCTTTCCCCCCTCCTCTCCCCCCTCCTCTCTCCTCTCCTCTTTCCCCTCCTCCGCTGCCCTTTTCTCCACCACTCCCCTCTCCTGCGCTCCCTCCCCCGCGCTCCTCCGCGCACCCATCCCCATCCATCATCCACCCTTCGTGCCCTTCCGTCCCCTCGCCTCCGCCTTCCCCTCCTAGAACCTCCTCCTTCGTCCCATCCTCCTCCATCCCATCCGCCCCTATACCTGCGCCAATACCCGCTCCGCCAAAGCTCCCCCCATCCCCCCCTCCCGCCTTCCCCCTCTCCATCCCTCCCCCGACCCCCCCTCGCACATCAACCTTCCCCCTCTTCCCCGCGCCCCTCCGCCTCTCCCTCTCCTTCTCTCCACGGGTCAACGGCACCCGGCTGTAACTTGACTTAGGTACAGGCAACCTCCTCACCTGCCCGCTCACCTCATCAACCATCCCCCCATCCCCTCCGCGCTTCCACCCTCCCCCGAACCCACCTCCCTCGAATCCGCCTCCCTGGAACCCTCCCCCTCCGCCTCCCCCTGCTCCGCCTATCCAGGACCACCCGTGGCCCCCAGAACTACCCGCCCCAGTTCCGCCCGCCCCAGCCCCGCCCGCCCCAGTTCCGCCCGCCCCAGTTCCCCCTGCGCCAGTTCCGCCTGCGCCAGTGGAGCTGTTGCTGCTGCTGCCGCCTGGGCCCTGGCTGCTGCTGCCGCTGCTGCCGCTGCTGCCGCCACTGCCGGATGCTAGTCCTCCTGCTACCAGAAACGCGCTCGGGAGCCTCGGCTGCTGCTGCTGCTGCTGCTGCTGCTGATGCTGATGCTGATGTGGCGGCTGCTGTAGCGGCTGCTGCTGCTGCAATGGCTGCTGCTGCTGCAATGGCTGCAGTGACGCCATGTGCGCGGATAGCTGTGCTCGGGACCCACCAGTCCCCACTCCTGCAAGTGCATCCGCCATCCCACCACCACCCCTCCCAACCTCACCTCCCCTACTGCCTCCTGCTTCTGTTCCTCCTCCTCTCCCTCCCCCAATTCCTCTCCCCCCGGCTCTTCCGTGCTCTCTCCCATGCTCTCTTCCTCCCCTACCAGCATTGCTGCTAGCTGCGTTGCCGCGGCCCAGCCCTCTGCCAGCCCCTGCTATTCCCGACAGGTACTGCAACGCTCGCATCTGCAGCCTCGCTTCGCCTCTTCCTACTCCACCAGCAGCAGCAGCACCAGCAGCAGCCACTGGAGGAGCAGCAGGTGCAGCAATCGCAGCTGCACCAGGAGCAGGAGCAGCGACACCAGCAGGAGCAGCGGCAGCATTGGGAGCAGCAGCAGCGGCAGTCCATCCTGCTGACGCTTCCCTGAAGCCGGGGCGATCCCGAGCCTCCGCTCCCAGCCACATGGATCGCGACACCTGGCGGCCCAACAGAGCATCTCCAACCTCCTGCTGCCGCCGCTGCTGTTCCTCATTATCAACTGCTCCCGTTGCATTTCCAGCAGCGGCAGAAGCACTGGCACTACCAGCAGCAGCAGCTCCGGCTGAAGCAAGTGTGCTGCTGGGATTGGAAGGCGGGTTTACCATGTATCGCGCCAGCAGGGGATTCAACCGTGCAGCAGCGGCAGGGGAAACAGGACCAGCAGCGGTAGCAGCAGAGGGAGCAGCAGCAAGGGTTACAGCTGTGACGGAAGATGAAGACGCGGGGGAAGAGAAGGGAGCATTCGGTGCAGCAAGACGAGCAGACGACCCAAACAAACCAGCCGCATTCCCCCGAGACGCGGGGCGGGCGGCAGGGAGGAGGGTTTGCAAGTGGAACCTTTGCCGCTCAGCTGTCTCCCATACAAGCACACCCGGTAACTCCACAGTGTGCTGCTCCTCCAGCCCGCGCCCAGCTAGGAGGCGCAGCTGTGTTGTTCCGTCGGGGAGGGCTGAGATGAGGAAGAGACGCGCGCACAGCAGTGACCCATCTGGAGGTGACAGGTGGGAAACGGGAGGGGAGGGGAGAAGAGGGGAAAGCAAACAGGCCGGCTGAATCACCCCGAGACGCAGGGCGGGCGGCAGGGAGAGGGTTTGCAGGTGGAACGTCTGCCGCTCGGCTGTCTCCCATACAAGCACACCCGGTAACTCCACAGTGTGCTGCTCCTCCAGCCCGCGCCCAACCAGGAGACGCAGCTGTGTCGTTCCGTCGGGGAGGGCTGAGATGAGGAAGAGACGCGCGCACAGCAGAGACCCGTCTGGATGGTGAGAGAGATAAAGGGGGGGGAGGGAGGGGGGGGGGGAAGGGGGGGGGGGGGGGGGGCGGGGGGGAGGGGGAAGTGGGTGAGGAAGATTAGCAGCTAGAATCGACGGAGAGAGTTGAGGGGTGGGAAGAGGGGGAGGTCGAGGGAGGGGTGGAGGGGTGGGAGAGGGGAAGGGAGGAATTGTTTTGCAAGTTACTTACCAAGCCAATCGGGAATGATGCGATACGCGACCATCGACATCTTTTCCTGACAGGACAAGCAGAAACCGAAGAGAGAAGGGGGGCAGAAAGGGTTATAGACTCAAATACGTCACGAAAACTGAAGCTTCTTAGGGGGCTGTGAAGAATTTAACGAGGTAGAGAATGCGTTAAGGCGACGCGAGGGTTTCGTGTTGAACACGCGACTACCCAGCCGTCGTTACTGCTGCGGAATGCCTCCGGTCATGCTTCGACCTATGCTTTGGACATACAAATTCAATTACGAAAAAATACAGAAGCAAACAAAAAATCATAAGATAATGCAGGGGATTGTGAAAGAATAAAAATATATATGAAGTTGTCTCACCCAACAAGCAAACAGCAGGCCGCCACGTGGAGCCAAGTCATCAGCAGCCCAGACACCAGCCAAGGGATCGAGAGCGTTCAAGAGACGGAAGAGGCATTTCGGGGAACTCGTCTCGACGAGCCAATCGGAAATTGCCACATCGGATTCCCACCGCTTGCACAATTTCAGCCAGACTTGGGGTCGATTAGCCAATGAATGCAGCGTGCGACACGTGGCAGCAGCAGATAGGAGATCCTGATACTCTAGCTCGTGAAGAATCTGAACAATCACATCCGTCGGTAAGAGTAAAAGGTCCATTTCTTTCCGCGTTCAATTTCCTCAAGATTCTAAGTCGATATGAGGGTTGTCAATCGCTGGAAATTCGTCGATGAATGCTACCCAGCCTAACACGCCAGAAAGAAGAACGAGCGGAAATCACGCTGCAATTATGGAACTGTACAATTCTTGAGTCGGCGCAAGCAGCAGCTTAGGAAAGAAGCGGTTCCCACAGCATCTCAATCGTTCTAAAGAAAATGCTGCTCACAAAAACATTTCCCTCTAATAGAAGCTACTCTAGTAGCGATGACAACACGACGACACAAAAACGTGAAACCCCAAATCAGCCTGTGTGAATTTACTTCCACGCTTCTCCTCACCCCAACCCATGCGTGCGCACAGTCTAGCCAATCATCTAATCAACAACAGTGATGGTCCTACGTCCCTCATTGGCTGAACTCACACACTCACGCCGAAACGGAACGAAACGGGAGGGAGTGCAAGTGAACGGATCAGATGAGGCTGGAAAAGGAGGCTGGCAGGGAAAGGAGGTAAGGAAATGAAACGGCAAGCAAGGACAGCCGTCCGTTCGCTTGGTGGGAGCTAGGTGTGATCTCAACCATTTTGCAAATTCGCCGATTTCTTTTTGTACAGGTCCATCTATCTCGCTTCACTGTACCTTTACTGTATCTAAAAGTCAAATATTGTCTTGTGAAGAGCCTGTCAAGCCTATTTAGAGAATATCGTACGTCCATAATAAGGTACGGTCCCTTTCTAAGCTACGGTCAGAACAAGCCGATCTAAGATTCTTTCGATCAATTCACACCACCCATTTCAGGTCAGGCCCGAGTGGAGCAGAAACGAACAGGTGTGATTTGAGCCACCACCCTCTTTGCAAAACTGTTCACTGGCCAAAAAGCAGAACAAACCAGACGTCCTCATGAACAGTAGAATGCCGAACCATGACATGTAGGCTCGGTCAGAACCGACACTGTAATCCTGACCGTGTATTCCAATTATGGATGTTTATCACTTCAAAAGGCGGGAAAGTGCACCGTTACAGGCAAGGCAACAACCCCAGTCAATCAAAAGTGCAACTTACTGTAGTTATGCCATCTGATGAATACACCTTTGTTAACCTACATACTTCTACAGACATCACCTTACAATGCACTAATTTATGCATTACTGTATAGCACAAGCCCACATAAGACAACGGATCTAGTGCTTACATGACACTCTGCTTCTCCAGCCTTCCCCTTTCCACAATATGTGTGTAAACCAGCTCATTCCACGTGTCGGGAACGCCCGGTAAGCACCAGTGTAGGCAGTCTTGACCCTTGGGAGTATCGGATCGAGGATCCCATATGGCTGGGTGTGCATCACCACGGTAAGCCGACAGGTGCGTGATGTTCAACAGGTGTACTGAAGTTCCCAACACTCCATCCTCCTTTTCAGGATCCCTTAACGTCATATTGGCCACCTCCACTTCCCCAAAGGGATGCTGCATGCACAAGAGCCACAGAAAAGAAAACACATACAACATACTCATCAGGGACTGGTGAGGCAACATACGGATGACCAAATCATAAAAAAACCAAATATTATATATGCACGAATATCTATAAGGGTACATTCCTGAAGCGCGTCACAAAGGCCTCGCGTCTCAAACGAAGAGATACAGTGCGGTGCAAATGTTTGTCTCTTCGGTGTAATGCGTTGCAAAACGATACATAGGTTTTGTGACGGGATCGAGACACTTGTGTCCATACAGGAATGTACCCTAACTATAATACGTACCTTGAGATGGTCGCATCGCCCTCCAGAGTCCCACTCCCCCTCCATGAAATGTCTCGGCGTAATCGATCGCAGAAACACCATCGGCTTCGTGTCTGGCGTCGCAAAAATCGCGGTCTCCAACTTCACACCCCCACCCGCCACAAAAGCTGGAAGTTCCACACCGGAACCCAACTGCCGCCTCACTCCATCCCCTCCTCCATCTTCCCCCCCTAGCTCTCCCTCTCCTTCGCCCTTCCCTTCTCCCTCTCTCTTTCGTTCTCCTAGCTTCACCAGCAAACCACCCTCCCCTCCGCTCCCCTTCAGCTGCTCATCGATCCACACAGACACCGACCGGATCGCAGTTTTCAGCGCCAGCGCCATGACCATTGGCCTCCTTTTCACAGGTGGTGCCTTGCTCCCATTCAGGAAAAACTCCAGTGCATATTCTTTCATTTTCCCCCGGTTCCAGTGATGCCCCGTGTTCAGAACGACCACATCCAGGTCCTTAAGAAAGTCTCTTAGGAAAGTGTCAGGCCGGTCTAAGTGCATCGCCTGGCCCTGCGTCCAGTCCTCCTTATTGAACGGCTCGATTTCGCACAAACACGTCGTCCAGCGGAAAATCACTGTAGTGTTAGACTTAACGAATCTGTATGCCCATCCGGTCGGGCGGCGGGCCCCGGGCAGCTGAAAAAACCGTAATCCGTGCCGACGTCTTGGATGGGGGATGAGGGCTTCGACATGTTTTTGGGCGGGCCTTTTGGGGCGAGAAGGCAGAGCAGCGACTGGAACTGCTGCTGGCCTAGCGAGTCCCCCACAAAGGCAATGCGCTTGTTGCGCATTCTGCAAATGGGGTTGTTGGCAGGTGGTTGGGAAAAAGGAGCAGGAAGGACAGAGAACATGGTTTCGGGTAAGTGCAACAGGCAGAGAAGCGACTGGAACTGCTTCTGGCCTAACGAGTCCCCCCCAAAGGCAACGCTCTCCTGTTCCCCACACACCCCCGCTTCTTCATTCCCTTCTCTCCTACCCCAACCCTCCGATTCTGTGAAAATGCGCAATAAGCGGCTTGCAGTTGCGTCCTGTTCCCCAATTACTCCCATGTCCTTGCCTTTTCCTCCCTTCCTCCTCCCCCGTCCTGACTCCCCCCTTCTTCCCCTTCCCCACCCCTCCCCCTCCCCCTTCCTTCCCCTCCCACACCCCTCTCTCTCCCCTATCCTCTCGCTTTCTCTCATCTGTAAGAAAAACACCTGTTTCCTTCCCCTTGCTCTCACCTGTCAAGAAAATACCTGATTCCTCCCCATGCCTTTTGGAGCATGCAAGTCCACTCCCATTCCACTCCCCCTCACCACCTCAAGAACAACTCACACCACCCCAACTCCGGTCCCCATTTCTTCCCCGCCCCACCCACCCCGCAATCTACCCCCTCACCTGCGGAAAAAGCCCTCCGCGTTGAACCGCTTCACGTTGCACCCGCGCGGCCGCCAGCGCAGGCGCTCGTACTGGCGCATCTCGCGCGGGCGGTTGCTGCGCGCGCACGCCCAGTTGGTCGAAATCCACCCGCACTTCTCCCCCGTATACAGCGGCCGCTGCCGCGTGCGCACCCACCGCCCGTGGTACAGGTCGCACAGCGGGGGGGCGGGAATAGTGGGGACGGCGGGGGCAGCGGAAGAACCGGCGGAGGAGGGAAAGGAGGCGGAGGGAGAGGAGGCGGAGGAGGGGAAGGAGGAAGTGGGAATTTGAGTAGAATCCGAAGAGGCGGAGGAAGAAGAGGGCTCGCTGCTGCTGCTGCTGCTATTGTCGCTGCTGCTTCCGGTGCTGCTGGTGCTAATGCTGCTGGCTAATTCCGCTGCACTTTCGCTACTATCACTGCCTTCAGTATCACCCCCACCAGCGTCACCACCGCTTGCATCACTACCGTTACTGTCCCCACCGCTAGCATCACCAGCTTCACTTCCGCCAGATTCTTTCCTAGGCGGATTCGATAACCCTTTTCTCAAACCGCTAGCTAGAACCAATACCGAGTCAGCTCTTAGAGGAGATGGAGCCGAATGCGCCTGACTAGTCTGATCGGCTTCTTGGCTACGCGGGAAGATTTCGTGATTGTGTAAAGGCGAAGTGTGACTAAAAGAGGATGAGGAGGCGGATGCGTTGTGTAGAATCACAAGTTCACTTCTCCTCCACCCTATGGAGAGGGACGGGGGAGAGGGATGAAGGAGAAGGAAGGGTGAGTGGGAGGGATGAGAGCGATGAAGGAAGGAAATTGATGCGGGAGTCGGATGAGGCAGAGGGACGAGGCATGAGGGATGAGGGAAAGTGAAGAAGGAAGGAGCATTTTTCGAGCGAAGGAGAGCGGGCGTGTGTGGAGGGAGAGGGACGAAGAGGCGCGCAAAGGGGAGTGGGCGTGAAGGGAGAGGTTTGGACGACGGGAAGAGAAGGCTGAAAACAGTGGAGGCTAATCGTGAGGAGAAACCACAATTACTTGAAGCTACTGGCATTCAAGCATAGCTACTCGAAGCCTATAACGCATACAGTTGATACTTCATAGCGGTTCACGGCACCAGAAGAATTTGACACGTCTCAATATCAAGCTTATGAGGATTAAGTTCTGAAACGTGTCAATACTAGCTGATACTTACAGCGGATTACTCGACTCCATAAGCCCATAAGCGTGCTTTGGTAAGCACGCAGACAAGCAGGCAGATAGTATTCTGGCTATTATTGATTTTATCTTCCAATTTTATTATTAGAAATGCTGCTGCGGAACTCACATCTCGTCCAATGGCTGGCGTGAAACGAATTCCACGACATGAAGCCGATTATCGTCAGCAGCACCAGCGCCGCCGAGCATGTCGCGTGCCACCGAGCTCCGCCGCAAATCCAGCACCCGCCTGCCTTCCCCCCGCCCATGACCGCCGCCAGATTTGAGAGGGAGCGAGATCGAGATCGGTTGGAAATGGTGCTGGGAGGTGAGCCGGGAACATTCCCGCCTGCAGCAGCAGGGCGAGTGGATTACACGGAGAAAGCAGGTATTGACGATGAGGATACGGAGCGAGAAGATCTTAAGATAACAAACAAGGAAATAAGGGAATGGACGATGAGGATACGGAGTGAGAAGCAATGATCAAGGAAGCAGGGATTTCCGGTCGAGAAAATTCAACCAATAAACGAGAAGGCAAAGATCCAACTGAGTCACACTGTGCGATCGTACCTGACACCGTCGCGTGTGCGATCGGACCTGACGGCCGTCGCGTGTGCGAACGTACCTGACGGCCGTCGCGTGTGCGCAACTCCCGAAGCCTCGCTAGGAGCCGACGCCACCGACACTGATAGCGCCGTCGGTCGCGATCGCGCCGACGAGCCTACCTCCATCTTCTCGTCTCTTGACACCGTCGCGTGTGCGAACGTACCTGATGGCCGTCGCGTGTGCGCAACTCCCGAAGCCTCGTTAGGAGCTGACGCCACCGACAGTGATAGCGCCGTCGGTCGCGATCGCGCCGACGAGGCTACCTCCATCTAACGCGACTTCACGATAAGCTTGCTCTGGAACTCTAAAACGGCTCAAAATTATTTATCGTCTCGCGAAGTGACAACAAGGCGAATTTGCTCTGGATCGGAGTTGGCGACGTCCACTTTGCTGGTAACCACGAGTTTGTGCGAAACGGATGCTGATTTAGCCGAAACCACCTACAAGGCACCAATAATCCTCAAATACACCTCGAAAACTTTTCTCCTAAAGCTAACGCCACTCTCAAGATGCCAAACAACGAGCTGCTGAAGGCGAGCGGCTCGACGGCCTGATGTATGCTGATTGAATGTCTCGGGTTGTAATGACCACTAGATACCAGCGAATATGCTTAGGCGAATCTATTAATACTGTATAAGACCAAGATTTAGCTGGTACAGCGGGCTGGCTGTCCGCGTGCAACCGTGGATCATATGTAGGTTCCGAATCTCGCTGACTATCACAAATCGGAAGTAGGTCAGCCGTTCTTCGCCGTTTCCCTACACTTGCTCTCCAAAAGTTACCGCTAACCAGTACTTCTTACAAGCTTCCGTTGGGTGTCTGCAAGATCCACTGGCTGTTTTCACCTTCCAGCCACGCAGCTGAGGCTGGAGAATTCCCGACGAACTTAGCTCGAGTGCTCTTGGATGTCTCGGCTGCTACAAATGGATGGTGTAATTTGGTACCAGACGGTTTATTAGATTAATAAAACGGTTTAAAAAGGGATTTCCCGCTCGAGAAGTAATCCCCAGATACACACAACCAAATTCCGTCCGGGTTCAAGTCATGCAAAGCCCATTCTCAGTCCTGCCTGACCTGTCCTGTCTCCGGGGTTTGTGGTGTGGTGGAACCTAAGGGGGGGACGCGCTTCGCTTTGCAGGTTCGACATTCAAAATTCGCTACTCTAGCGAACTTCTTCAGGAAAGGAGCTCTGGCGAATTCGCGAAACCTTCTGCCAAAGGCTGCAAGTACGGAAGTCACTGTTGTTAGCGACATGGCAGCCTCACAGGTCACAATCGCGGCCCTCCTCCTTCAGGTTTGCGAACGTCGCAAGGGTGTCGGTCACCTATTTGACAGATAGCTGCAGGCAGGGGTGTTGCGCGCTTCGGTAGTCGATGCGCGGAAACGCCTGGGTGCGCGGGAACCCGTGTCAGATCCCGTGTCGCCGGCTGTGACTGGGCAGTGCGCCCTGCAAGTATAATCCGCGAAAGGGGAAGCGAATGAATTCGAAGTCATGTCATTCTAAAAGGCGACTTGTAACGAGGATCAAACTAGTACGCACAAGAGGTGTTATCTCAACCATACTTCGGGTTTCAGAAGTGTGACATACACCTTGTTCTCGATTTTTTCACACCCCTTAATTTCGCACCCCGACTCGGGATCACCAGCAAAGGCTTTGGGCTGCCTAGCTGGCGAACCGTGAGGGATCATTGAAGTGAGATGTGCAGAAATGATCGGCTTTTTGGGTTGCGTAGCAACCCTTTATATTTGGTTTGACATTTTGGGGATATCATTTGGAAAGTGATACTTTACACACTTTTTGGAGCACACGTTTGAATGTTTGAAATTGGGTTCAAACGGATGCCTCAAATAGTGAATAAAAGCACTCTCAAATGAGATTCCCATATGTAAAACCAAATACCGTACGTATCATGTGTCAAACATTGCATGCTTATATTATGTAGGCTGTAGTGGGTTACACCTTAGGGGGTACTGAAAGTTAGGGTTTCCTACTTGTACCAAACTATGTGCTAGTTCAATCCATTCCTGCTCAGTTATTTCTGACATGGTTTCAGAGCAGGTCCTTCGCTAGGACTGTTCTTAGGGCCCACCGACTTACCTACCTGCTTACCTTCACTTGTTTCCGGCCCCGCTGGCCCCGTCGATCTAGCACGATCTAGCGGCCCTGCGGCCCCGTCGAACTTTTTTTTTTTTTTTTTCCTAGCGGCCTCTCACGGCCCCCGTCGCGTCGCCCCTTAGCGCCCCGATCGGCCCCGTCACGCCGCCCGCGAACCGCACAGCGCGCCGCGCTCACAGCCCGCGAACCGCCCACGCACAGCCCGCGAACCGCCTGCGCAGCCCGCGACCAGCCCGCGAACTGCCCGCGAGCAGCCCGCGACCTGCCCGCGAACCCCCGCGAGCCGCCCGCGACCCGCTTACGCAGCCCGCGAGCAGCCCGCGCAGCCCGCGCTGAGCCTGCGCGGCTCGTGCGCTGACCGCCGCCGGCCCGCACGCTGCCCGCACAGCTCACATACGGCCCGCGCGGCCCGCGCACTGCCTGCTACCGGCCCGCCGCTGCTGAGCCCGCAGCCGCCCGCGCACCGCCGCTGCTGAGCCCGCCGCCGCCCGCGCACCGCCGCTGCTGCGCCCGCCGCCGCCCGCGTATCACCGCTGCTGAGCCCGCCCCTGCTGCGCCGGCTCTCGCTGCCGCCTGCTGCGCCTGTGCACCACTGCAGATCCTGCTACTACTGCAGATCCTACTACTGCTGCTTGTGCGCCACTACAGTCCGTAGGCCCCACCGGCCCCGCTGACCCTGCGCACGCCTTTTCAGTGACTTTACTGCTTCTACTACTGCCGCTGTCGCTATGGCTAGTCCTCCTGTTCTAGCTTTCGACGCCGAGGGCCGTCCGGTCAAATTCGAAACCTGGCTAGATGACCTGCACCTTTTCCTACAGCTCACTGCCAAGGAAGATATTACTCTGTACGACCACGCTCTCGGCCATGCGACCGCCCCACTCACTACTGCCCCCCCAGCTGAGCGCTCACAGTGGCAGACCCGTGACGCGCACGCTCGCTTTGCTATTCGCAACTCCCTGCCACTAGATGAGCGCGAGCACTTCGGCCAGTGCAAGACTGCTAAGGACCTCTACACAGCTGTAGTGGCCCGCTACTCCTCACCCGCTTCTGCCACGCTAGGCCGCCTCACTCTCCCCTACCTGTTCCCCGACCTAGCCTCCTTTCACACTGTCGCAGACCTCATCACCCACCTTAAGACTAGTGAGGCTCGCTTTCGCGCTGCCATGCCTGATGAGTTCCTCGCTAGCAACCCCCCCCCGCTCTGGATCACTCTCTACCACGTTGTCACCCGCCTCCCTGACTCTCTGCGCCCTGTCAGGGACCAGTTCCTCTCTCGCTCCCCCACTGAGCTCACCATAGCCCTCCTCGAGAAGGAACTGCTTGCAGCCGAGGCTAGTATCGTCGCTGTAGGCACCTCTCGTGGCGACCCCCGCGGCCCCTTCTTCGAGGGGTGCTCCCCTTCCCCCCTCCTCCCCTCTGTCGCCTCTGCTGCTGCTGTCGACCTCCTTGGTACTGAGAAGGTCGGGGCTGCGTCTGCTTCAGGCGGACGACGCAGGGGCAGGAGTGGCAGGAGTGGGGGTGGTGGCGGAGGAGGCGGGAGTGGAGGTGGTGGCGGTGGAGGTGCGACTGGAGAGGCTAGTGGCGGCAGTGGTGGAGGTGACAGCGGCGGTGGGAGTGGTGACAGGGGCGGAGGTGGCATCGGAGGCGGAGGTGGTCGTGGCAGCGGCAGGGGTGGAGGTGGCCGGGGCGGAGGCGGCGGGGGTGGTGGTCGTGGAGGCCCGGGGGGCGGTCAGAGTCAGCAGCCCGCCCCGACACTTCAGGCCGCCCGTGAGTGGTATGCGCGGCGCAGCGTCACCTGCCAGTACGTTATTCGCACAGGTGACCGCACTGGCCAGACGTGTGGGGGGCCGCACCAGACGGAGCGCTGCTTCGCCCGCCTCAACGACGCGTGGCGCACCCAGTTTCCTGGTGGGGGTGAGCTGCCGCGCTGGGCTGAGCTGCTCAGGAAGGGTGTTGATATTTGGGCACTAGACTTTGATGCTATTCTCACTGCCATGTATGCGATGTCTATTAGTGGAGAGGGTGCTCAGTACTTGCGTGTTCCGCCCGACCCGGGCATTCAGGCCAGCCCCGCTGCTGCTCTAGGTGCTAGTGTGTCTGCTCCCACAGGTACTACTGCAGCTGCTGCTCTAGGTACTTGTGCGTCTGTGCCCCCTGGTACTGAGTTGACTGCAGCACTGCACACCTTCACACTGGACTCAGGTGCTTCTCGCTCTTTCTTTCGTGACCGCACTGTCCTTGAGCCTCTAGCTCGGCCGGTTGCTGTCTCTCTTGCTGACCCCTCTGGGGGTCCGGTCCTTGCGACCTCCTCCACCACCCTTCCGTGTCCAGCGGTTCCGTCCGGCACGCTCTCAGGTCTCTACCTCCCCTCGTTCTCCACGAACTTGGTGGCAGGTAGTGCGCTCCAGGACGGGGGTGTTCACCAGTTCACCCCTGCCTACGAGCGTGTGACTCACTGCACATGTGCTCGGACGGGCCGTCACCTAGCTACTTTCACTCGAGAGCCGGGGTCTGACCTGTACACACTGACCACTGAGTCCCCTCAGGTAGCTGCGTCTGCGTCAGCGTCAGGTCAGCTGTCCGCCCCCTGCTCGTGTCGCTCTCTGGCGAACGACACCGTCCTCTGGCACCACCGCCTTGGTCACCCGTCTGTGCAGCGCCTGCGGGCCATGCACAAACGGGACCTTGTTGCTGGTCTTCCCAGGGTGCTCCCTCCCCTTCCTGACTCCCCTGCTCCTGACTGCATTCCCTGTGTCGAGGGGCGGCAGCGCGCCGCTCCTCACTCCTCCTCCTTTCCCCCGACGACCGCTCCCCTGCAGACGCTCCACATGGACGTGTGGGGCCCAGCCCGCGTCCGTGGTCAGGGTCAGGAGAGGTACTTCCTGATAGTTGTTGACGACTACTCGCGCTACACCACGGTCTTCCCCTTGCGCGCCAAGGGTGACGTCCCTGGTGTTTTGATCCCCTGGATCAGCCGAGCCCGTCTCCAGCTAGGCGAGCGCTTTCACTCGGACTTTCCTGTCCTGCGCTTGCACTCTGACAGAGGTGGTGAGTTTGCCTCCGACCTCCTGGCAGCCTACTGTGCTGAGCACGGCATTGAGCAGTCGTACACGCTTCCGGCCTCTCCACAGCAGAATGGGGTTGCTGAGCGCT